CGAGCATATTAAACAAGTAGAAAAATGGAATGATTTCAACCCCGAGCTTAATAAAAAGAATTTATTGTTGGCACCTTTTTGCGGAGATCCGGCATGTGAAGATAAGATTAAGGAAGATAGTAAGGAGGACAAAAGGTAAAATTTCCTCCTATATATAACAAAATTTTTGTATGCTTATATATGTTGCTTATCATTATTTAAGAAAAAAATATGCATTTGGAAATTCTCAAAATATCGATTTAAAACAAATAAAAAAAAAAATGATTATATTTTGCACATTTTGAATTTACGTTAATTTGAATGCTTTGTATTTATATCGTAAATTGTTTTTTCTTTATTACTAATTTGTAAATCTAAACGTAAAGTAGTTTTATTAAAAAAATATCTGAACTTATTTAATTTAGTTTTAAGAAAAGTAAATATAAATAACGTAGCTGAAATAAATAACGTAGAATTATATTGAATAGCAATCCTTTCTTTTTTATTCTCTTAATTTAAATTTTTGGTTTTGTGATTAATTACAGTGAAAGCACAGAAAGTGGATCATTAATGGGCGCCAAGAGTCTGTGTATACCATTTGATCAGCCAGAAATAACAAAACCACTCAATGAAATAAAATGTATTCACCATAGTTGCAAAAATAAGCCGAAGTTTTATACACTTTTCGGACGTAGTTACTAATGCATCTATAAAAGTAAGGCTCATGTATAACGTTTAATCAATTTTTCTGCAATTTTTTATATAGGAATAATATGGAATTTTACGGATTTGTTGATTTTTCTTCAATTCGAGAGATCACAATTTTTTATTGCGCATGTATAAACTTTTGTTCAATAATATTGTGTGCATATATTTAATAATATAAATCTGTGTTCTCATGTTTATTCTCATTTAATTTTTGTTATCCACTCCAGTATATTGTATATTTAATTTAATTTATTAACTTTTATTCTTTTTGGGACATCTCACTCTTTTCTTTTTTATTTATGAATATAAAATCACATAATGAACGATTAGAAATTATGATTATTGATAGTTATATTAACATTTTCTAAGAACATGGTTATCAAGTAATGAAATAATTAAGGCACTTAGACGAAATTAATAGCAATAGCAATGTTTTTTGTACGAACCCATACAACACCGATCGCCAAGGAACGTCCTAAAAACGTCCAGAGGACGTCTCTATGTCTTAAGGACGTTTCCAGCATATCTCTTGGATAAAGAATGGCAAACATTGTTCAAAAATTGGTTCGTGATTTATGACTGCGTGGTGAGAAGTTATCAGAAATTCGCACGCATGATCGATCTCACGCGTTGATTGTCTTTCACTTCCAAATATAATGGCTGCGCTCGAATGAGACGCGGATTCTTACCTTCCTTCCGTTGCACCAGGCACAAGCTGGTCCAAAATTCTAGTGCTCGCAATCGTCTCAAATGACCGAACGGATCCAGATTGTCGCCGTAAGCGTCGACATAGTAGTGAGACATTCCATCGTGGTACTCGGTGATGCTTCGTATACCGCTGAAATCGTGTCAACGAAACTTGCCACTGCCGACCGAGAAATAACGCGCGTGAACGCGAAGGGAGCAAGATAAATTCCCAGTGAATCCTGTAAGCATTTCCCACGCACTTGTCGGGGTAAGAAGACGATCGAAGACTCAACTAACTACCCGTCCTCGGAAGGGGAAGGGTCAGTGATGAGGGGTCGATAAAGGATCATTGGCATGGCCAAGCGACTCAGCCCTCGAAACTCGGAGGTGAACGCTCTTGAGCAGCGGGGCTATCTCATAGGCAAGAAGATCGGACAGGTTGTTCATTGTTTCCTTTTGTCTTTCATTCTTTTTAACATCTCATGTCTTCTTCCCGCCTCTTCATCCGTTCTCGCTATAGCGCTTCCTTCAATTTATATAACGCAAAATATACAGGAAGATCTCCTTTATCATTTGTCTCTCTTTTGATAATAAGTGATTAATTTCGACTATTGTTTAATCAACCTCTCGATCATTTTCTAATTTATATTTATTTACAGGCACCACGAGATGGATCAAATTAAAAGATTCTTTGCTCCATTGTATTACACAAAACTACGAGGTGGGAATATTCATTTTTTAAATTAAACATCTCTTTCAGGGCTCTTACGCAACCGTCCATCTGGCAGAGTATATCGATGGAGCGAGCTCGAAAAGGATGCGTCTGGCTTGTAAGATCTTTGATAAGGAGAAAGCGCCAGATGATTTCTTGGACAAGTTCTTTCCCCGCGAGCTTGAAATTTTAACAAAGATAGAAAATCCGCATATCATTCAAGTAAGAGTAACCAGAAAAATCTTCGCTCATCTCTCTGATTAATAAGAGAGGAACAATTCCGGTGGAAATTCACATTACATACTTTTTCTCTTTTCTTTCAAAACTGACTAAGGTCGAGAATATTTCTTCATCAGCAATCCTCTTAAACGAGTAAACATAGTTTACATCATTATTTTATAATAACATGAATAAGATAGAACTTAATAGTATTGAAAGTAACTTCAAGCTTTCAAGTAACTTTAAGTGCGACAGGAGATTCTTGGAACTTTATTATAATAAAGTTATATGAGCGATAAAAGATTAGTTTTAATACGATTAGTAATTGTAGGTAATTTGATCATATTTTGCCCAATTCTGCCGTTAACGCATCAGCAATCCTAATCGCATCATCCGGTCGAGCACAGGTGCACAGTATTCTGCAACGCGGTCCGCGCGTCTTCATCTTCATGCGCTATGCCGATAATGGCGATCTTCTGGATTTCGTGAAGAGCAACGGCGTAGTACCGGAACAACAGTCGCGATTGTGGTTTCGTCAGATGGCATCCGGCTTGCACTACCTGCACAGCAAGAATATCGCCCACCGGGATCTCAAGTGCGAGAACATATTGCTCTCGCGGAAGTTCAATGTGAAACTGGCGGACTTTGGTTTTGCCAGGTTCTGCATGGACCACGAGGGTAGGCGGGTTCTCAGCCAGACGTACTGCGGTTCGGCGGCCTATGCTGCACCGGAGGTCGTCGCTGGTACTCCGTATAATCCAAAATTGGCGGACGTTTGGTCGCTCGGTATTATTCTCTTCATCATGTTGAACGGAACGATGCCGTTCGACGACGAGAATCTACCGAAGCTCCTCAAAGACCAGATATCGCGCAATTGGGTGTTCAGGTCCCGCGTCCGCGACACCGTGTCCACGCTGGCGAAGAACATCGTCCGGCAGATCCTCGAACCGGACATCACTCTTAGACTTACGCTCGAGAGGGTGTTGGGCCACGAGTGGGTGAGAGCAAGGAAGGATAGAACGGGCTTCCTTGCCGGAAGACTAGTCCACTCAGCACCGCCGAGTCATACTCCGGTTACGATAAACAATATAATTGTAGTGTTATATTCAAGGTTCCTGGTTTCCACAGTGAATTATGTCGACAAAAGCGAAGAATATATATATATATAGTGAATTTTTTATACCGGATGTTTCAGACCACCCGTATCACCCTTTTATCTTCGCAGGATGAGGTCCAATTGTAAAAGTGTTCAGACAAAAGTTGTAGGGTTTAAAAAGATCTATTTAGGACCAGTTCCACAACTCACGATTAACTGTTCACCGAGGTTCAACTTATTCATTGTCTCTTTCCAATTCTAAAATTAAGAGTTAACGATGAGTTGTGGAACTGGGCCTTACTGATCTTATCAGTTTGACCTTAGGTGGCGTCGCCAAGGTCAGGTTAAGGTCACGTCGATTTTTTTAAATGGAATACCTTGTTTCTTATTCCAGAATCTAATAGCCGATATCGAGAGCTTTCCAAAACACTATAATAGTTATTTTTTATTGAGTACTTTTCGAGTTATAAGACTCGAAAGTTACAGTACCGCCGGCATTAGCATTACGCAAGGTATCCGATCGACGGTTAAAACCTCTTGAATATTGTTCAAGATCATGTACTGGATAACATTTGTCAAGATCAAGGTCATTGGAAATTATTCCTCTTATTTTTGTACTAAAAATTCATTTTTACGTAAAAATGAAAATAAGGGTATAACTTTCAATGGCTTTGATTTATCTTGATGTGTAAATGACTTGATGATAAATTTACATTACTTTGTCATAATTCGATTCACTTTCAGCAAGAAACCAGGAGTCTTGATTAATACAAACGACATTTGCAATAGACAGTGAAAGTTCTTAAACAAAGGATTTTCGTATAAAATTACAAAGATTAGTTTATTTTTGAACGCGCAATTATCCATGGAATTTATAATAAGTCCCGAGGAATAATTGCAACATTCCACACAATAATTATTTTGAAGAAGCGTAACGATTTGTTGCCTATGCAATTAGATGTGTGGAGGCGGTAACCTAGGCGGGTCGGGAACCGGAAACGTACCTGTCGTAACGAGGGCACAACCCGTATTAAAAAATTCGGAAAATCAGAATCAACCGTCCTCGAAGATGGTAAATACTTCAAGGAAAGATCCACAGTCTATCATCGTGGGATAAGAAGATTTGCAAAAAGAATCAATCGATACATTGACAAGCTATACAATCAAAATATGAGATTACTAACACTTTCAAACTATCGTTTTTGAAAACGTTTACACTTGTCTTTACTAATATATTTTTTAATTTTCTATTGGATTGCACGATCAATGAAACTTACACGGATGTTAACGTATTGTTGCTAAATAAAGGTCCATAATAATTCGATGTAAACCACGTGTCGAGTATGAAGAAAATTTAATCGATTAACTTTAGATGTTATTCAATAATTAATTTCTACATTTTTCTATAAATTGTCCGACTATCATAGGCTGTCAATTTCATGACACGATAGATACAGAATAGAAATTAAAAAAATTTGTCAAATACATTAATAAGTTTATTGTACAGTTACTGTCTATTAATATACAAAACTATACTTTTTTTTTGTTACATACACATATAACGGGATATCACCTATGAATATAATATATAACGATACAAGTGATATATTTTTTTTTCTACATCTAATTTACATTAAAATAACAAATAATTTACACGATTCGATCTCTTGCGTTGTAAAGTCGAGCTCGGTTAGTATAGCACCTTGAGATACTAAAAAGGACACTGACACGCATTATGAGAGGGAGGATTACAAGAAATAAGTCTCTAGCGATACATAAAAAAAATCGCTAATTGAAAATAATTTTCAAGATTTACGGTCGTATATGAACCATTCGAAACCATGGGCGGTTTTATACTTCCTGGTGATTTTATGCTTCCTTAAAGGATTTTTTTTTTTTACAGAGTGTTACCTGACACCACGATATGTTTTGTAGATTTTTTTATTTGTGTGGACTTGATGTATTTGTTCTTAAATTCGATATTTATTCAAGGCGATAGATTCCTCTAAGTAGAAAAAGTTTCGTATAAAAGTATATCTTTGTAAAATAGTTTCACAAACGTCTATTTATAAAATCATTGTAAATATAGAAAAGGGATTATTTTTTTCTGGAAAAGAGGCCATAATTATAACGGTTGTCAACACTGTTAGTATACCTTGTAAATAAGGTAAACACATTGGTAAACATTCTGAAGTAGCCTCCTGTCGAATAAAAATAACTAATCGCTAAAACTCTTCTGCTCGCGCGTAGAAGGGACACAATATTTTATTTACAGCATATTAGTGTTAAAATGTGATAAATACGACCAGATTTAAGTATTTTTACAAATGTACTAGCATGCAAAAACGTCGGTCCTTGAATAGGCACATAACGAACGCGACGTATGTAAGTAATGCTAAGAGCGCATCTCATCGTCGCTTCTCAGAATATGTTAGAACCCGTTTCGATTTCATGCACTCATTGCAGTACTGAATTAAGCCCATCCACCAGTCAATTTGTGGAACAAGTCTTCGTTCAATGTTTGATTCGCCTCCTTCGAACGCATCGACAAAAAGATGTAGCCTCCTATGAATTCGTGGACAACTTTGCAGTCCGCTGATTGGCATTCAAAAATGATATTCTCTTCTTCGAATTGTACCATCATGTGCTTTACTTCCCAGTTAATATTCCACGCCTGTAAAAGAGATCGTTCACTTTCATCTTGTATTCAAAGATATATCCTTTACTAAGTTTTTTAAATTATAAATTTTAGTGTAAATTCCAAATGACTTTTCTGTGCAAAAATTATTTATTGTCACTTTTCAATTTTCAACATTACATTTTTGCCAAATTAAAGGAATATTCATGAATAAAAATCTACAGGAGAGAACACAAATACGTAAATGAATACACACCTTCATAGTATTATACCTCCAAGTCTTTAAATGATCGCCAGTATGAAGGTCCATTCGCATTAGCCTGTTATTGGCGATACCTAGTAACTCATCCTTACTCTTACCAGTAAATCGCACAATGAAGAGCGAGATACCGTATTCCGGCAGGGACTGCCAGGCTTTGATATAATTCAGCTTCGCCTCGACAAGAGGCAGGTCTTTAACGTTCGCATGTGCTTCCAAAATCCTTTGAACCAACTACGTGAAAAAAAGAAGTATCAGTACAGTGTTAGGTTTTATTCAATCACGAAGAGTTATTTAAATGCGAACAATTTGTTACCTTTCCTTTGAATTTCTTCGCAAATCGAGGCGCGACATAGTCTTCCGGTACAATATCCAAAGCATTCGGATTGATGACTGGCGCGGGCGCGGGCCTTTGCAGTTGTAGGAAAGCTGCGATACTGTTGACCTCGCTCTCGTAAGACGCATCGGCGAGGGTACGGCCTTTGGCCGCTAATCTGCACGCGGCCATCCATTTTGCGTATTGTTGTTCCTAAAATGATAAAAAATAGTAATAGAATCAAGCTCAAATGCGAATATCTGTAAATTAAATCAATTTTAATATTTAGACTGTGTTCCAAAATTCAGCGCTGAAAATCTTATCGTTTACATTACTAGATTACATGCACATAGATTTTCAGTACTGTCAGTGAATTTTGGAACACAGCCTTAGTTTTCACTTCGTGAAGCTTGAGTATCAAGTTCGTCAGAACTTTATTCGTTTTCGACGCAACGTGTATTAACGATATTTGTTGACGTGTGGCCAAACGCCAACATATGGCAAGCATTAATGTACGTTTAAGAACGGTTAATTTAATAATGTTGGCAACGATACGCCACGTTAACTCAAATTAATCCACTTACGTTGTCGCATCTTATCCACATCTCAGTCATGCCTTCGGCACTGGGCACCTCCAGTCTGATTCCGTAGCGACCTTGTGACAAATGCACATCCGGCGTGACCTCGCAACCGCGCAAATTGATCACGTAGACTGGTGACTCCGAGCCGCTTGTCTCCTCCCTGCTTTTGTAAAGCCTGAGCTGGAGATCGCGGCACGTGAACCAATAACGCTTGAAGGCTTTCAACGTGAAACGTTTCGGCTTAAAGAAACGCAGCTCGTCACAGAGCTCAGGCACCTGCGTGATATCACTGGGTCCGTTGCTGATGTTGCTGCCTTCCAAAGTCACCTGTAGATCCGTCAAGGCCGCATCGATGTCGTCTTCAACGGGCGAAGTTGCTCCGTTGCTGTCGTACGTGGGCTGCGGCACGCTTGCCTGAAGATTCACTTGTACCTGTAACGGAGAAGCACAGGTAACATCGATTGTAGATCTATTTTTTTTTATTCGTTCCTCTCTGTTCATCGTGAGGAGACGGGGACAGTAAGTATATAAGAAGTACAAAACATATTTTATGGGTCGAGGCGAGATGATCGCATCCTTTCTTGGTTGTGTTGTTGCGTGATGGCTATGGTGGAACACCGGCTGGCGAAGCAATCGGTTCAAGGACGCGGCTTGCATGATTATGCGTTGCGTGGGGTTTATCCCTCGCAATGGAGCGGCATAAATATATTAAGATGGGCGAGAACCGAACCAGCATGGTGAGTCGTATAGTTGCAAAGAATGAAAGGAATATCAAAAACCGAGATACGAATGTGTTCTAATCAGTCTCTATCCGCCTGCACGATACATTTGCATCTGTCATACATTTATAAGCAAATCTCCTTGTTGATTCTTATGGAAGGTGGGACGATTGGAATTTAAATGGATTTTATGGCTTTGTAGATTTCAACAAAAAGAAATATTTGAGAGTATGAAATGCATTTCATAACTTATTCAAAATCTTATCCAAAATCAAAGTTCTATTCCAATTGTCTTATTCAAATAATTCTGCAAACGTTTAGTGCGTTGCCTGTTCAGCGAGTTTTATATATTTTATCATGTACGCCATAATAGAGTTTTTATTATTGTAAGCATAATGTGACAAATTATTATGTAATACGATTATTAAGACTGTTACAGATACTGTGTTAAATAGAGCACTTGTTTAGTTGTTTACGTTGTTATCTCTAGCTATCTATGTCTTTTAATAATACATAAACATTTATTTTCTACAAACGTTTTAAGAATTTTAATCACGACTGCTCATCACATATAGTCATTAATCAATGTGTTATTTCTATCAAGAATACAACGTTTGAATACCTGAAGAGCCGCGAACATCAGCATCTCTTCCTCGGTGCAATCGATCTCCTCTGCGAGCAATTGCCACTTGGCTTGCTCGTAAATCATGTTGATGCGCACTGCATCGGTTTTCGGATTCAGATCATAGAAGGAGTAGAATTTGAACTTCAGTCTAAGTGTGTCGAATTCGCGGATACCCTGTTCCATGATCGACAGGGAGGAATCCAGCCAGCTGACGTTCATTCTCGCCCTCTCAATCAGGCTCTTCGGCCTGATCAGCTTCACTCGCACCTCCGGCGAGACCGACGTTGGACTTTGCGCCAAGGATTCTGTTAGCCCACCGTTTAATGCCTCGAGACTCATAGTGCTGTTATTGGCGTTGAAGGAACCGGTACTGCCGAAGCCCGACGAATTGTTGTTCCTTTTCCATGTGCCGGTATGCTGGAAATTTGCAAGTATAAATTCGCAAAATATGCATTGACGCAATGCTGTAAAAATAATCACGATGTGACTGAAAATTAGTTATGTCTACATTATTCAGAACTAATTTCTTGTTCAATATATCGTAATAATAGACTCCATGAATAGGTATATCGTATGATACGCAATGATACGCTCCAAATTCACATTTCATCTTCATCCTTTCATTCCCAAATTATTTAATAGTTACAAAATAGTATTTTTTATACTCTTGTGCATTACATGACAAATAATGATTCATAAAAATTTTAAAAACGTTTAAGGATTTTTTGTATATTATTTTTGTTGCAACTGTGTATAATAATTTGCTACAAAGTTTATACACATATTTCATTATATATAATAAAATCTTCTTTCTTATATTACTTTATTAATCAATAAATTTACTTGAAATAAATAAAATAAATAAAATATGTTAAGAAAACTGTAATTTTGCAAATTCTTATTGTATTTATAATAATTTTTATCACTAAATCAAACGACAAGAAATAAAAAATGATAATACCTATTTTACCGAGATATATAATATATGTTAAGAGATATGCACTATCTATACAAGTTTATAAATCTTTATAATCACATATACAAGACTAAAAGAAATTAACATACATTCGCAAATAAAGTTGGTAATAATATTTTGTTTAATTCTAAATATGTAGCCATGTAAACGAAAGGGTTAAGAAAGATATCGCTTGTATGGTAAGTTTACCGAGACGGGAGAGCTGATCGGCGTGCTGTGATTTCTGTTGTTGGGCGTAACTGGCGCGCACATGAATGGGCTCGATTGATCTAAGCTTCCTGTAGATCCCCTGGGACTTTGGCTGGCTGGGATGAAGGTATTCGTGTCGGCTGATACGTTCCAATGCCCATTCTTTTGAGTCTCGATTTTTTTCTTGGTCGGCAGATCTTTCAAATTGTATTTCAGGTGATTCGGTTCGAGCGGCTTGCAGAACGAGAGCTCCTCTGGATGTCTAATGCCTGCAACAGTAATCGCGGAAGACTTGCATGTTAGTCAAGACTATTAGATTGAGGAGAGAAATAGAGACGCGTGTCTCCTTCGCTTCAGCATGAAGAGTTAAAGGCGAGGTAAAAACAGTCATGATATTCATTCCCTCTAGATATATTCTTACAAGGAAATGTAGTAATTGATAAAGATCGTATGCAATGCATTGGAGTTTATTTATGAATATGACACAGTGATCTCATACCGTCGATCTATTTAATAGAATCATCGACAGAAGTATAAAAACCAGTAGCCGCGAGTTTGAGACAAGCTCGAGTAGACAGCAGTCGCGTTGCTTTAAACAATGTTATAACGCGATATTTCCCGCGAATGCGGAATTACTTTTTAGGTCATTAGTAGAACGATAAGCTCGTATCTCTGACGGTACTTCCTTCTACTCGAGAGTCAGTTCTATCCTCGCGATGGAATTATCGCGTTAACCCACTTCCTTGATTAAAAAAACGAGCTCGGTGTTCACCGCAATGGTGAATCGAGAGCCGTGACGATTATGCGACCTTCGCGTGACAAAAAAGCGAGCTTATCATTTTTATTTTGTTACCACGTGTAATATTATAATTACCGCTAACACGCTTATCCACCTCGCAGTTACTTGGCACGACAAAACCCACATGTTGCCATTTATTTATTCATAATAACTTGTAAGTAAAATATATTCGTAACTTATAAGTAATAACTTGTAAGTAAAATAAATTTTAAATCAAATAGAAAGGAGAATCCTTATTTTTGATCGAAGCGAAGTTTGACTTAATAATATTTATATGCAAATTTTTGCAAGTACATTTTTCAGTTAAATTGTGCTGATTCGATTTGTCGGACTTGAAACATAATTGCAAACTGAAGCTAAAATATCTCAAGTTAAATTGATTATCATTTTATCAATGATATACTCATAAATTTTTAATATGCTGAGAAACGGCCATAACAAAAGATCTCGTAATTTGAGATTTCTTGTTCGGCTCGCTACCAAAAAGACGAAGTGACGTAAAGTCATTTAGATAATCATAGAAACTAGCCAGGATGCTGTTACAAAACAGATTACGTAATACCATGTCGAAATATATACACAGAGTATCTCTCGCGTTTTTACTCGAAATTAATTTGCTTCTTGACGAAGGACGCTGTAAAGTGTAAGAAGTGAAAATTTTCTGGTCAAATATATTTTGTACTATCTACATTATTAATTTTACATTATTAATCACGATTGACATCTGTACATTCTTTCTCTCGTTCCTTATAATCGTCGTTAACGAAGGCACGCTGGCTTGATTGACTTGCGCCGCGTTCGTTTCTATCGCGCTTCTTAAACGATGTCAATAGGTTCGCGACTCACCGAGTTCCTTGCACAAATTGATGACCGCGTTGAACGTCTTGACGGAAAAGTCGACGCGGCAGTCGAGGCATCGCATGTCTGGCAATTGTACCCTCAGAGTTTTGTGCATCGGCGTGAAATGCAGCAGCGCATCCGCCGCCACGCCATACTGGTCCAGGGTGCTGCGTGTTCTGGTCAACCAGTGATTCCGTGCTGGCCACCAAAGTGCGTGGTCCGACCAATCCATAGCGATATCTATAACAACAAAAATAACGGAGAAATTAAAGTGGAGGAAAATCGAATTGGTGATCACTTTTCTCTTTCTTCAAAAGTTACACTTAACTTTTTTTTTCTCAAATTGATACTGATCAAATTATCAAAGTGTGATGCTTCAATCATAAACTTTGAGGAATGTTAAAATAATTGAAAAACAATAATGCCAAAAAATGAGAAGAAATAACATCTTAACTATATATTGAAGTTGCGTTGAGAAAAATAAATAAATTGAGCGCGAACTAAGAAAATACAGCAATTTTAACCGTTTGTAATAAGTATGATACAATGGTATATTAATAGAATGGAGTAGAATAAAATAGTAATGTAAGATAATTTCATCAACAAAAAATAAATATTTAAAAAAAAAACAAAAATGTATCATTATGGCATAATGACTAATTTTGTTATAGAAATGTTTGTCTACACTAAAAATTGTCGCAGCCTATTCTATGAAATTTATTAACAATATGTGTACATATAATTTTCTACTATTACTATTATTATTTAATAGTTACATACAACTAATGAAAACCCAACATATTACATACATTTATATCACCAATATATTGAGAATATATAAGAACTATATATAAGAACTATTTTTTCTTTGAATGCGGAGAATCTGAGTTTATATCTGTCTGTTAAGGACATCTGAAGACAACACGTTTATGTACATCCATCCCAAGTAAATATACTTAAGGGCTCGATGGCAGGCAAGGCCGGAAGACGTGAAGACGAGAAGGGTGTCGAGTAAATCAAGGGTTTCGTTCGTCAAAACCGCAGAGATCGCGACTGGAACAAGACATCCGTCGACGGAATTACAAAGCAAACGGGCGTTTATGCTTCGCCGAAAAGTCAATTTTCACAGCTGTTCGCGTCGCGTCGCACATTTCCTATGGAGCTCCGTTTAACGACTTCGGGGTACCGAAGGTCGATGCGGGTTTCTGAGGGGGAGGTGCCGCTTAAAATTACTGTTAAGCCGTAGACATATGGGGCTGCAATCGCGAGGGGCTGCGTGCAGAGTTGATACACAAGGGAGATCCCGAAATCGGATACCGGATGAGGAAATGTACGCATACGAGAATGCAATTACAATCTAATTAGAAGAATAAAAAAAGGGTAATTACAAAAATAAAAAATCCTCTATAATAAGAAATAAAGAGCCAATTGGAATCTGTGAATTTCGAGATATGGATGAGCCACGAGATCTGCGAGATCCAAATGATATTTTTAAAAACTCGCCAGGCGGAATACGTTTTTATTACCGCTAGATTGGATTTACCGTGATCGCAGCTGCGATCTATAAATATATCGCGGATTTTAGAGAAACCAACCGCTCGATCGTTAACTGTTTGTTTTCATTCGAATAGTCGGCCACTCCGCAGGTTCTCGGATTCGCCCACGCACAGAGAAGATAGAAAACAGATTTATCTCTTGTTTCTTACTCTTCTATTTCTATCTGTGTTTTCATCTTCTCTCGTCCCGCATTTAACTGGTGACGACAGCGCGTGATAACGTATCGTCTACGCGACGATCGAGATCATCGCAAATCTTCGCCATTTAACACCGCAGGTCAGCAGCAAGGTCTGGAAATCGTCACTGATACGATGTAACTTGCATCCGGTTTAGCGAAAACGCGCGATATTTGCTGATATTCTGTGAGGAAATGGTTGCATGTTAAAGTGTAGTATAGGCATTTTTACGTTAATGTCATGTAATAATAAAAATAACACAATATTCGGGAGAGTGACTGTCCAACACAGAGCCGGGACAAGGATGTGGCGAGCGAGGCATTAATCTCATGTAAACAATTTTAAGGGGGCGCAAAAATATAATTTTCTACATATCTAATTCATTAACGGTGATTTTGAGTTGTATGAAATTGAAGTAAAGTATTGGCTGTACTCATTTCTGAATTGTATCGGTGATATAAAAAGCTACATGAAGTACCATCAAATTTTGATTTCTTATTAAGTTATAAGTTATAATCAATAATTAGTTTCCGAGCTACAAAATGCGGCAGTAGATTTAGCATTAAAATATGAAAATGATCTAAATGCAAATGAAATTTCTTCCGAAATTTTAAGTTTCAAACAGCAATATCAATACTTCCCGTATAGAATCAGTTTCTATTTTAAATGTTTTATAACTAATTCATAATTATTCTTTAACCAAACTTGGAGGTAGAATATTTTTAACTATTCCAGTAACAGTACAACTTCATGTGAAAGAAGTTTTAGTAAATTGAAGTTAATAAAAAATTATTTAAGGTCATCATTAAGTCAAGAAAAATTATCAAATATAGGAATTCTTTTAATTGAAAATGAAATATGTAAGAATATAGATTTTGATATAATAATTGATCGTATCGCATTTATCAAAATACGAAAAATATTATTGTGACTTTAGTAATTATATTTCATTCGTAACATACATGTAAATTTGTATGATTATAAAACGTATAATTCCTCTCCTGTACACGTGATTATATTAAATTAAGAATTTAGATATTGACATATACTATTAGTTAATATTATTTCTTATTATATTTCACATGTCAGAAATATATTTTTTTTACTAAAGGGCGCATTTTTTTATTTTGCCTCGAGTACCGAAATACCTAGTCCCGGCTCTGGTCCAACATATAAAGTGACAGGTCCTTTTCTTAACAAGCTTTCGTCCTGTTCATTTACGTTCAAAGATCTATTTATGTAACAATAATTTATTTATATTTTATCACATTTAAATAAATTTTATTAATTATTACTAAAATAATAAAATAAAATAATTTGGCAATTTAAATATCTTTTCATATCGGTTTCCGATTAACAACATAATGTAATCAGTAAAATAAATTATTTCGTCAATAATTTAATTTTATATTATTTTATTAACAGGAAATGAATGTTGCTCAAATATAAATTCTTATCGTTGTTATATCAATCTAGGTGTAAAAAAAAACAATTACGAATAACTGCATTTAACAAAAAGTGGTACCAGCATCTCTAGAAGAATGAGAAACAGCGTCTCAACAATGATAAAGTCGCAGGAAGAAAACTGAATACGTTGTATGAAATTTTATTCTCGAGCAATACTCATTTCCAGTTATTTATTTGGTTTGACGCATGAGAGGCATTGGTTTGCAGATGAAAGAACACGGGAGCAAATGTCGGGTCGATTCGTTCGACGCAAGAAAACGGCTGTCGCATAACAATAACTTGTCGATGTACACACATCGTGTACCGCTAGAAGCGGCACCGTGACACACAAACAGTCGGGAACCACGTCTCTTCCTGGTCGAGCGGTCACAACCCGCATTCCCAGTGCCGGAAATAAGTCGTCAAAACGACGTCGGAATAAAAAAAAGAAATAATAGCGATAACGGCGAATCGAGATAACATCGAAAAGGGCAATTCATTAAGCTAAACATTAAACGATATGTATAACGATATAGGTATATACAATGAATCACAAAAGTATTCAATGTCTCTTCAATGTTGATTTCAAACAATATGTTATACATCGAATGCGATTATTTCTATAAGATACTTGATTTAATTTCTGTTGAAGTATTATTATTTTTTTCAAGATTTTCATTAATCAAAAGTTCAATTGATATAGTATACAAATCTACCATGTAAATGCTGAATGTTTGTTTTAATCATCCTGTATATTTAGAAAGAATCTATTAAATGACTATTAAATATTATTATATATAATTCTATTAAAATAGTATGAATTGTCCGACATCAGCAATTGAGAAGATACGAATAGTTTTATGGCTCCCCCCGCCCCCCCCCTCACGCTACTACCTTCATTTTAATCATCAAGAAACAACAAACTGAGAAAGTAAGTGATTGATGAACCTGGCATCGTGGTCGACGTGAGCAACAAGTCGTATACGGGATGTTCTGCCACTCTTGTCGTTCCTTTCACCCGGGGATTCTTCGACTAATTTGGAATTGATTTTTTTCCTCGGCGAGTAAGTGCTCGAGTACAATTTTTTTTATTCCGAATGTTCAATATCTTGGTATCTAAACCAGCTTGAAACGCTGCAAAGCTTATTAATTAACTGAAAGGTATATCAATGTTTCAGTATTAAACAAAAACATATTCTTTTAAAACATTCACCAATTTTTCAAAATATTTTATTTTTTCACGGAGTTTGCCATTATCAAAATGTAATACAGTCTCACCACACAAAAAAAACTAATTATATTTAATTTGCTTCAATTAACAAAAAATCAACCGTTAACAAGTTTAAATGAATAAACCAAGATAGACCCTTACAATTTTCTTTAGAAAAAAGAATATAATGTATATAAATATGATTCAGCATTCTGAACCATAGAAATAATTTGTAATAATAAAGAGAGTCACACAAGCTGTTTAATTTTAAAATCTGACTATTAATAATAAATTAATAATATAAATTTAGAAAAAGTTTACACATATTTAATTAAGCTTTTTTCCTCATGGATTCATATTGTTTGAAGTTAGTCTTGAAAAGTAAACAATAGGCAAAAGGAAATGGATATTATGAATCAATCTATGCGTGCAACTACAAAGAGACATAAAATTAAGACATCGCCAAACGCGGATTAGGCCATTCGACTTGAGTTCGCGAATTGCTTTCGTGGCACGTCTCGGTAGCAACGACCGCGATATTTGCGCACGGCACCTATTTATACTCCCTCAAGAGGGATTCATACGCGACACCCACAGTCCATCCAACACGTGAAATCGGTCTCTGGTACGAAGCAAAGCCCATCTGTTCTTATTACGTCGTCGAAGAGTTACGGGGAAAGTTCTTCCGAGCGTGGTTTATAAGCTAAAGTATCCAGGAGCGGAAGAGTCGGTTGGTTTCCTGATACAAGAATCCTATTTTAGCATTCTTACTCTGTCTCGATCTGAAGAGTCTGATATAAGAGTTTCATCAAGAGATCAATTTTGTTGAAGTATCTATATAAAAATTTACC